TCAACGCTCTCAGCTTCCCTCAGGTTTTCAGAATAAAGTTGTTCCAGAGACTTGGACCTTAATAATAAAAGCTGCAGGTTTTTCTTCTGACTTTGGGTTTAATTAAAAGACCACAACCAGGATACCTGAGGGTTCTGGATGACATAAAATCCAATAAACAGGCAGGACCAGGACCATTAAGAGTTTTATAAACCAATAAAAGGAGGTTGAAATCAATTCTAAAACAGACAGGTAGACGATGCAGAGACCTTCAATTCATGTAATGTGTGCTCTTGTTCTGGTCTGAGGCAACACACTTAACACTTAAGTCAGAGTACAAAAGTAATGCGGATATAGTAGCTGATGTACTCAATATACGAATTATATTGTTGGTTCGTTAATGTTGCATTTGGAGCTAAATCTATTTATTTTACATACTGCTGGGTACAATAATGTAGCGTCATTTATTTGTCAATTAATATTTGCATTAATGATTTAATTCTGCAAAACAACTACTAACTACAACTTCTAAATAAATGTAGAGGTCTACAAAGTACAACGTTTGGCTCCAGTGGAAGCACAAAGTAGCATAACACGCAAACACTAAAGTACAACTACATCAAACTGCTCCTCAGCACCGGGCAAATGTACTTTGACACATTCCAGCACTGCAGGACAGCAAGAAACTACATTAGAGTTACCGAAACACAAACACACACTTCTCGTCTCTAACACAACATCCTCTCTCTCTCTCTCTGTCCGCTAGCTGCTGGGCCTTCCAGACATCGAGGACGACAGCTTCGAGCACTACCACGCCGACATGGAGGGGGAACCTGGGCCCGACCACCAGCAGATGGGGGTCAGCCAGCAGTGATAATCCCCAGGAAGAGAGGCCTGAGCCGGGGCTGAGCACCTCCAAAGTCCCCCTCTCCCCTCCCCTCCCTCCTCCCCTCCAGGGCCTCGACACATTAGCCCGATCACTTAACAACACACACACACACACTCACACACACTCATACATACTGACTTGCTAAAAAA